TAAAATTACATACATTCATTTCTTATTGAAAAAATTTGACTGAGAAATTGTAGAAAATTAATTTCTAATTACCTCCCTTTATTTTCATGAAAATGTTAAAATTCGGTATATCTTTATAAATAATGCTTTTTAAAATTTACAATATTGATAAATCTTTAATCTGAGCGTCATATTACGACATTAAAACAAATATGTATATTGAAACAATCTTGACAAATTTTGTTGTTATATACGTTACATGATATACGACCGATATGTACTGTAGTTAGCCGGGATGTCTTGCCCACGTGCATAAACTGTGTCAAATTTGGCATTTCTACAAAGAGAACAATGCCAAACACCCCCACTGTCTACAACATACCAATCGCAAAATTTTTGCGAAATGGTTTTCTTAAATTTTCGCGTAGGTGTATCAGAATCAGTAACTTTCTTTTACTGCTAGGTTTGGGCATTTCGCCGTGTAGCCATGACGTGTCAGAGCGACATAACAATTTTACAGTAAAAATTTGATGTTAACAGACTGAAATCATTCAAAACTATATAAGTTTTTAATCCGGTCGCTGATCATTAATGAAAATTCAAATTGATTATTTTTAATTGACTAACAGTTTTGTAATAGCCGTGAAAAATCCATTGCACATCGCCTTTACTCGGGTTAAAAACCCACCATCGAAGTGCATCGTGTATATCAATTAGGGAAGATTGCACGTGTTTAGATAATCGGGGAAAAAACAAATGTATAATTATCGCCAAATCCCGTATTAAACTCGCAAAACTATCACACAATTATACCGTTTCGGGCCGATGCTCTCATTATTTACTGTTTAGAGTAGGCGGTCTATCGCTTCGCTTACAGGTAGAAGGGTAGTATAAAGCGCCGCTCTGATTGGATAATGATAATTAGCGGTCGTCATATGGGCGGATACAATCTCTGATCTTTACATCGCTAAGTAATTACTATTTGGGAATTAAGATTTTATCAGCGATGTTGACTTCTCTTTGATCAATCGGAAGAGCGAAATTGGAATATACACGGCGAAATTTTCGCCTGAATCGCCCTTCCGGATGAGCCCTGCACTATATAACAAAAGCATCACATTTGATATAAATAATTGTTTCTACATATATTTTGGGTGAATTGTATAATTTCTAGACATTTAATTTATAAGTCAAAAGTATCGATTTTTTAAAATGTGTATCGATTATTGATCGACAAAAAAATATCAACGATACATCGATATTGTCGATATCGATGACAGCTCTACAGACTATTAGTTGCCATAGCAACTAGAATTTTCAACATAGGAAGAAAAGAAAAAGACGTGCATAATCTCCATACTGCCATCTATCCATATATCAAGTTTCATTAAAATATTTTCAGTACTTTTTGAGTTATCACTGGATCCAGTTTATGTGTTAAATTTGCCATATTTTCAGACTATTAGTTGCCATAGCAACCAGAGTTTTCAACATAGGAAGAAAAGAAAAAGACGTGCATAATCTCCATACTGCCATCTATCCATATATCAAGTTTCATCAAAATATTTTCAGTACTTTTTGCGTTATCGCGGGATCCAGTTTTGTGGACGGACGGATTGACAGACAGACCGACGGAGGGTAAACCTAAAGTCCCCAGGGCTTTTTTTCACAGGTTGGGGAAGCAGCCCAGCCCTTAATTTTGGGGGAAAATTACACGGTATATTTGCAAAAGGGGAAGAAAAAACTTGATGTAAATTCAATTTTTGGGGAAAACTGCATGATTTTAAAGAAATTTTCTTTGGGGAAGCAGCCCTATACCGGCCCCTGTTATAGAAGGTAAAAAGGTCCTGGTCCCCTCCGGTGAAACCGGTAGGGGACAAATAAAGCAAGAGACTGTTGATTTATATATTAATCTACTCAGGTTGACGGTCTTTACAGACCGCCAGAGACCTTTGATTTTGCGGGGACCATCAATAAGTAGGTCCCAGCTGTATCAATAGACGCTTTGAAAGCAATATTGCGTCGTACAAAAGGGGACGAAAGAAAAAAATGATTTTAAACAAGCATTTGATAGTATTGTGGGCAATACAGTAGTCCCCTACCGGTCCCTCAAAAAGTTCTTTAATTGTCATACACTCCTGTGTATTGCCATTTATAATAATATTATAAATTATGTTTATACAACCTTGTCATATTATTACGATGTGGGATTTTAAAGTAAATCCTATAAGGAATGAAGAAGTTGAAGTGAAAATACCAGCTTCTCGAAAAAAATCTAAGTTCAAGGGGGACATAATTCTGGAAATAGTCTTGCTGGAGTATTTAACCTTCTCAAAAATGTCGAGTGATAATAAGAAACATATATATGAAGTTTGAAGTAGATACATTAGGAAATTAAGAAGTTATTTAAAAAAGACAACATTTTTTCCCCTAAAAATCTAAGTTCAAGGGAGGTAATACTGATATTTTTTGTGCTAGAGTTATAAACCTTGTCACATATGATGTGGTTGATGACCAGAAACTTATATTTAAAGTTTGAAGTAAACACCTTAAGAAATAAAGAACATATAGTGAAAAAGCTGAAAAATTTAAATCAGAAATCTTGAAATTCAGGCTATTTGTTGCCATAGCAACCAGAATTTTCAACATAGGAAGAAAAGAAAAAGATGTGCATAATCTCCAGGCTGCCATCTACCCATATTTCAAGTTTCATAAAAAATATTTTCAGTACTTTTTGAGTTATCACTGGATCCAGTTTATGTGTTAAATTTGCCATATTTTCAGACTATTTGTTGCCATAGCAACCAGAATTTTCAACATAGGAAGAAAAAAAAAAGACGTGCATAATCTCCATACTGCCATCTATCCATATATCAAGTTTCATAAAAATATTTTCAGTACTTTTTGCGTTATCACGGGATCCAGTTTTGTGGACGGACGGACTGACGGACTGACAGACTGACAGACAGACAGACAGACGGACAGACAGACAGACGGACAGACAGACAGACAGACGGACAGACGGACGGAGGGTAAACCTAAAGTCCCCTCCGGTTAAACCGGTAGGGGACTAATAAAACAGTTGTAAATAATCAAAAATCAGTCAGAAAAAGAACTTGTTAAAAATATTTTGAACTGTTTTTTTTTATGTTTGTAAACAAAAGTAACTGGCACATTCGGGCAATCTGACATGTAAATAATAATAATAAACAAGAGGGCCATGATGGCCCTGAGGTCGCTCACCTGTATATAGGCCCCCAGAGCGGGGCCAGTTTAAACCCCATGGCTTTTATTTGAACAAACTTGCGAAAACACCCATTAGAAGATGTTTCATGATGTTAAGTTTTTACTACACACATATAATGAAAAACAATGACCTCCCCCTACCCTCCTCCCCCCCACCCCCCGCAGGGCCAATTTTAACCCAAGGGCTTTTATTTGAACAAACTTGGTAGACACCCATAAAATAATGTTTCATGCTAAACATCTAAGCTCTAGCTCATAGGGTTTTTTTAAAGAAGATGTTTTAAGTTTTTACTATACACATATATTAAAAAAACAATGACACCCCTGGGGCCGGGCCAGTTTTGACCCCTGGGCTTTTATTTGAACAAACTTTGTAGACACTTACTAGAAGATGTTTCATGCTTAATAATTAAACTCTAGCTATTTGGGTTTTTTTAAAAGAAGATTTATTTAAGTTTTTGCTATACACATAGATGTAAGGAAAATCAATGACCCCCGGGTGGGGCCAATTTTGACCCCAGGGCTTTTATTTGAACAAACTTGGTAGACACCCATTAGAACATGTTTCATGCTAAATATCTTAGCTTTAGCTCTTTGGGTTCTTTAAAAGATTTTTTAAGTTTTAACTATATGCATATAGGGAAAATCAATGACCCCCTGGGGCGGGGCCAATTTTGACCCCAGGGCTTTTATTTGAACAAACTTGGTAGACACTCATTAGAAGATGTTTCATGCTAAATATCTTAGCTTTAGCTCTTTGGGTTCTTTAAAAGATTTTTTAAGTTTTAACTATATGCATATAGGGAAAATCAATGACCCCCTTTAAAATGCGTTGTTGACAACAGAATTTTAAGTTTTCAATGCAATAAAATGGAAATATATTGTATTTTTATGCTCAAAACATCCTCTTTCTAAATATCAAATGTTTGCACCTCTATTCTTTCACGCTTAAATTTTGACATACAAGCGTATTTTCATTTCGTTATGCGTAACTTTGACGCACGAATTTTGAAAGTGATGCGTATTTTAGATTTGCTATGCGTATTTAACGCTTATACGCATGCTATCTGGAGCTCTGTTATCTGTAAAATATTTTCACCAATTGAGAATTTTAAACATGTTTAAAAATCCCAATCGGTAACTTTTCACCGATGAAATTTATCTTTCCTCAATAGCAGTTGATAGGTGGAAAACAGGTGACCAATAGGTGATATAATTTGGCTAAAAAAACTATCAATCAATCACCGATGGCTCTGTGTAACTGGGGTGTTAGCTCTAGCTCTTTGGTTTTTTTTAAAAGAAGACTTTTTTAAGTTTTTAATATATAAATATACAGACAATTAAAGGTCCCCCTTACCTACCCGGGAACGATTTGTAAACAACCTTGCTTAACAGTAAGTCTTACAGTAACAGGCATAAAGGAAAACATTTTTTGGCAGTTAGTTGCAATAAATGATATTCATTGCAGGCAAATTCCGGCAGCCGTATGGGGGAAAATTTTGGCTTTGAGGAGGGGAAAAACATAATATTTTGAGGGAGGAATGGGGCTGAATTTCGCCTAATATTTTGGTGAAAAAACACTGGCTTATTATATACGACACCTGTCACATTTTTATCAGCAATTTTAAAACGTTTACACCTGGAATCGGTCTTACCATATTTGACAGTAACTACACGCAACATGAGTGCCCTGAGTATGTATCCCAGCCTCTGGTCACACAAGCTAAAGAGCATTTTACTATCAAAATTAAATTATCTCTAGTGTTTATACTTACAATGGCATTGGTACTTTTTTGTCAGATATTAATGGACAATCCTCCCATTCCTCACAACTTTCACCACCAGAACTGCTTTCTGTTACATCAGTATCAACAACATCACTCCAGTGGCGCAAATTTCTCCTCAGCTGACTTGATTTTTTTTCTGACTCTGATGATACACTCTGGTCCATAATCAAAACACTTTTTTTAGAATCACATTTTTTACTTGCTTCAAATGCATGTTTTGGCTGAGAAGCTTGGAGTTTACGGACCAAAGTGACCAAATTTGATGTTGACAAGTTTTTCACATCACTGCTGTTAAATAAGGTGTTTGGAAGATCACCAAATGGTCTGATGGCTTTAGAAGCAGCAGATTGTAAGTTATGATGCTGAAAATCAACAAAAGCCTTAAGCTGTAGCTTAGCTTGTGATTCCAAATGTTTACCCTGAAGTCTTCGTAACCTTCTCATGAGAAATTGGCACCTCCTTTCAAGAAGATATTCTTTCCTTGTTAATTCTTTAATATTGATAGGCTTTACCTCAATGCTCAATTCCTGTGGAACAACATGGATTCTATTTCCATAGCTTACTTGTATGCCACTCCCCAATGTATTTCGATCAGGAACTGGTTGAGAAGTTGTCACAACATTTAAACACATTTTCGGTGACTTTCTTAAATCAAGTGCAGTGTTTTGAGAATCTTGTACTTTATTGGAGTTAAATGTATTTGTATGTGTATAATTTAAGCACTTATTTAAATCACTGTGTTTGCTTGAATGTCCATTCAAAGGTTTTTCACTCACTAATATGTTTCGCTTTAAAATGTGCAGATCTGATCTTGTTTCATTTTCAGAAGGTTGATTCATTTTCTTTTCTAACACCTTCAAATGATGATCGATTTGAGTATCTGCTTCAGACTTTGCTAATGCCAGTTGTTCAAGTAGGTCTTGAAAATTTGGAGGAAGTCCCAAGCTATGCAGACCCTTTTTTATGTGTTCACTCAGTACTCCTTGAGAAGAATCAGTGTTTCCTTGTATAGGTTTCAAAAGCCCCCTAGCTGTGTTTTGCAATTCTGATGAAAGTGATCTTGAGATTTTTTCCTTCACTGATGAAATGTCTGTGTTTGACAATTTTTTACTACAGAGCTTTTGAACTCGTGCTGGACAATCTGACACCACTGGTGGTGGGCTACCAGGCAGCTGTATTCTAGACTGGCTGGTTGATTCCGTAAGAGCAGGAGCCATGGCCGCTATACAACATAGTCTCAAGGACACAGTTGGTGACATGTATATTTCATGCTTGAAAGAACTTGACTAGGCAGCTCATTTCGCACAGGCAAAAACCCGGTCTGTAAATTTCAAAACAAAGCTAACAACAACAATCATCCATAAAATGATGTAACAATACTAAAGTATAAAATATACACTTGTCGAAAAATATAAATGAATCTATGACCTAAACAATAAACACGTGACGTTATTATGATGAGCAAGTTCACACGCACTTTGCACTGTAAAAATTGAACTTCTCTTTACAAGATTAAATTTCTTTCGATTTAAATGGCTTTTGCTAATTCTCGTTTCTCCTTTTTACTTTCATAAATGTCATGTTAAACCAAAGAAATCGAGAAAATCACTGAACAAGTCATAACCACGTGACCTGGGCCACGTCCATTTTACGATGTACCATCGATTGTTTCCTCGTTTATCATACTCCACCGTTTTTGCAATTAATCCAATACTATGTCATGAATTATAAGATAAAAATCACAGTAAATTTATTTCATGAATCGTGCGATATTTAATCAACCATTTTTGACTTTGGTTTCGACTGAAGCTGTATTGTGTAAAAAAATATTGAGCTCTATTTCACATCGAAGATGGCGTACTGTGGTTTTCACCTCATAACAAAAATGCGGGACAATCGTAACGTTTACAACCATCAATAAAGCTATCCCTCTGAGATTCTATTAGGTGATTGGTTAACATACTATACGTAGCCATTCCGTTATATACCAATTACCTGCGTTTTAATTCACGATAACGCATATGGATTACTGGATTTAATAGTTTGATAAAAAAAAAACACTTTCTTTTTATTTCAACATTTATGATCAGTGATTTTTAAAACACAATTTAAATTTCTTGCTGTAAAGAACTCTCAACTTCTTGTCTTTTTATTAAAATATACAAAAGCACTGATAGAAAAAGGAATATTTCATGATTGTGCTTACTGAAAGTAATCAAAGTGCTGAAAGCACTGGATTCGATGGTCAAGAAATTTAGAGCTATATTTAAAAAAGCGGTAAAATTCTATGCCAGGTTTTTATGGGGCTCATAAATAAATATAATATTTCTGGGGAAAATGAATAGGAGTGGTATTGTGTCCTTGATTATGGTATTAGAGAGTTCAGGTTGCTAGTGGGTGCTGGGACATAAGATAAGTTTTATGTCCCAGGTGGGTGTCACATGGTGATGGTCGACCCTCACAAGATTGTGTTGGATTTTGTAGAGAAGGGTAACAGAGCTGATGTTGCGCCTCTGTGCTAGGGTTTGCCAATTAAGTTCACATATCATTTTAGATACACTACTGGTGTAATTGTAGTCGTTGTATACATATCTGGCAGCTGACCTTTGAACTTGTTTTATTTTGTAAACCAGATAATTTTTTTTTATTAAATTTTTTTATTATCCAGTTCGTATAAACAAATACATTGCATACATTATACAAATTTACAAACATGTTACAAATTTTTTAATTGCAAGAATAAACAATGGTTACATCAGAAAAAAACTTTAATAAAGACTAAGTAGATTTAAACTGATTTAACATGATTGTAAAGATGGAAAAGTAATCTAGAGCATGATATATGTAATTTTAATTATTTATAGTTATGTTTTCATTAATAAAAAAGAAGCGTTTCGTAGTAAGCGTGTAAATAATATTTAATAGACTCCAGTCAGTCGCATAGGTTTATGATGTGAATATGCTCCACTTGTTGTTATGGACATCGACCTTATTTTTCATTTCAGCAATGAGTCTTTCGAAACTAAGTTTATATCTAAGATAATTTAAAAATTCACTGAAGTTTGGTACGGTTTTCTGGTATTTATTTTTAAATATAAAATATTTACCTAAGAGTAAAATATAGTTAATGCAGTTTGATTTCATATTATTTTGAATATTCACATTACACAAACTGACAGTTTCGTATGATACCAAAGTTTTGTCTGTAGAATATTTTGTTTGTAAAAAATCCTGATTTGACACCAAAATGGTTGAATTTTTGAGCATTCCCAATATAGATGAACATTAGATTCTGGTGCCGAGTTGCAAAAATCGCATAACATTGACTCCACCATATTATATTTAAAGAGTTTTTCATTGTTTGGCAAAATACGCATAAGATATTTATACTGAAAACTTCGAAGTTTGGTATCAATCGTTATATATATGTTTATTATTTGATTGAATATATTTTTCCTTTCAAAGTTGCCTGAGAGTTCAGCTTCCCATTTGTTTTCTTGATGATTGTTTGTTGTTGTTTTCTTTTGAATAAGCATAGTATAAATAAATCGGCAGGTTTTAATTTGCGGTTTTAATTTATCAATTAAGTAGTTATTAGCTTTGTATTGTATCCCTTCAGATTTTAGTTTTATTTTCCATTCTTTTGGTATGCATTTTATGAGTTGATGATAGTTTAAAAAGTTTGATTGGGCTATGCCATAAAGGTTTTGGATTTTGTTAAAGCTATAAAATTGTTTTTTCCCTATAATCGTATATATGTTCGATAAAGATTACGCCCTTTTCCATCCATTCACAGAAAACAAATGGTTTGTTACTTAGTTTTATATTCGTGTTGTTCCATATAATTTCTTTACCAACATCAGTTATTTCTTTATTAAAGTTTGCATACGACCAAGCACTGAGTACGTCTGTTAAAAATGTAGATCTAAATTAGATTAGAGCTGCATCAGTACTAAGGGTGTAGTACTTAAGTACCAGTACCAGTACTAGGCAAATTATGCAGTACCATTACCAGTACCAGTACTAGATTTTAGCTCGGTACTGCAGTACCAGTCCTTTTTTTGGTGAAGTAATTAAGTATCAGTACCATTACTTTTATATATTCATCAAAGTTTGAATAAATACAGTGTCAAACAAATAATTGCAAATATTATGCAGCAAAGAAATAAAATCATAATTTACTTTAAAGCTGCATGCCTCCAGATGACCCAAAATATTTCAAGAAAATTAAACTTGGAAAAAAATCACCAAAACTTTGAGAAAAGTTAACAAATTAAAGATTCAAGTGATAATTTATATCTAATGTGCAATTAATGACTGTATTTTGTAGTATTTATCACTATATTTCTACTGCGTTACTTACGCAGTAGGGGCTATTTATGCAAGTTTTTACCTCTTTTTGGTAATTTACGTGGGTTTTAAGTGCTGATTGTAATGTGTCAAGTACTGTCTTTGTTCATTTAACAATATTTTACCTATAAATACATTTTCAAAATTTTCATGAAAATTAGGATGAATCTGGAGGCGTGCTGCTTTAAAGTTAACATAACATATTTACAACTTTATAGTTTTAACATACTTTTTACAAACAATATTTACAACATATATTCATGTCATATCTTATTGTTTAGAAACCAGTTAACTGTATAAATACAATGCAAACATCCTAACTTAAAACACAACAGTCTTTTGTTGCCTTTCACACCTTCACACCTCTGTTCAATTTATATCAAAGTAAATAACAACTTTTTATGGTGCTAACAATATCACTTTTTTCACTTGAAATGGGATTTTTTAGAATAGAAGAAATTAATTAGTGTTTATTTGCTCTTTTACTAGTAAATACAAAGTAATAAAAGATTTTAATAAGGATATTTTAAGGTACTGTTTATCTTAATTGAATTTTTACTTAAAGTCTTTGGTGCTTTTTATAATGAATACCATGTTAACATTTGAAGGAATATTGCAGCAAATTATCTTTAGATTTGATAACTTAGTTTTTCACAAAAATAAAATATAGTCAATGTAATTTACAGCTTTATTTTATGAGTAAAATTGATGTTATTTTTAATTTTATTAAAACCAAAAGTACTGGGTAATGCAGTAGCAGTACCACTTTTTAAGACAGTAATGCAGTACCAGTACCAGTAGTAGCAAAATTTTGTAAGAGTAATTCAGTATCAGTACCAGTACTTGCAAAATTGCTGCAGTACGTACTGCAGTACCAGTACCAGTAGCAGTAATGCAGCTCTGGATCTAATATGTAAATTTTCAATATCTTTTATGTTTAGATTACATTTAAATATGACTTGTTTTCCATATCTATTTAACATATTTTCATATACTTTAACCCATTTTGAATGTTGCTGCAATTTAATGCGTTTAACCCAGGAGCATTTTAAGGAATATATAAAACTTTCAATGTCTAACATTTTAAGCCCCACATGTTGGTAATCTTGAATAATCTTATCTCTTGAAATTTTGTCTGGTTTGTTGTCCCATAGAAAGTTAAACATGAGCTTTTTAGCTCACCTGAGCTTGCTCAGGGTGAGCTTTTAGGATCGGTGAATGTCCGTCGTCAGTCGTCCGTCCGTCGTCCGTCCGTCCGTCGTCCGTCGTACGTCCACAATTGCTTGTGAACATTCTAGCGGTCGCATTTTTGCCTCAATCATTATCAAACTTGGTCAGGATGCTTATCTAGTTGAAAGCTCGGATGAGTTCGAACATTGCTCATCTCGGATGAAAAACTAGGTCACAAGAGCTAAAAATAGAAAAACCTTGTGAACACTCTAGAGGTCACATTTTTGACCCAATCATCATCAAACTTGGTCAGGATGTTTGTCTAGGTGATAGCTCGGATTAAAAAGTAGGTTACCGGAGCTAAAAATAGAAAAACCTTGTGAACACTCTAGTGGTCACATTTTTGAACCAATCTTCATCAAACTTGGTCAGATTGCTTGCCTAGTCAATTGCTTGGATGAGTTCGAACATGGCTCATCTCTGACGAAAAACTAGGTCACAGGAGCTAAAAATAGAAAAACCTTGTGAACACTCTAGTGCTCACATTTTTGACCCAATCATCATCAAACTTTGTCAGGATGCTTGTTAAGATAATAGCTGAATGAAAAACTAGGTCACCGGAGCTAAAAATAGAAAAACCTTGTTAACACTCTAGCGGTCACATTTTTGCATCAATCATCATCAAACTTGGTCAGGATGCTTATCTAGCTGATAGCTTGGATGAGTTTGAACATGGGTCATCTCGGATGAAAAAGTAGGTCACCGGAGCTAAAAATAGAAAAACCTTGTTAACACTCTAGCGGTCACATTTTTGCATCAATCATCATCAAACTTGGTCAAGATGCTTGTCTAGGTGATAGCTCGGATGAGTTTGAACATTGGACATCTCGGATGAAAAAGTAGGTCACCGGAGCTAAAAATAGAAAAACCTTGTTAACACTCTAGTGGTCACATTTTTGCATCAGTCATCATCAAACTTTGTCAAGATGTTTGTCTAGGTGATAGCTCGGATGAGTTTGAACATGGGTCATCTCGGATGAAAAAGTAGGTCACCGGAGCTAAAAATAGAAAAACCTTGTTAACACTCTAGCGGTCACATTTTTGCATCAATCATCATCAAACTTGATCAAGATGCTTGTCTAGGTGATAGCTCGGATGAGTTCGAACATGGGTCATCTCGGATGAAAAAGTAGGTCACCAGAGCTAAAAATAGAAAAACCTTGTTAACACTCTAGTGGTCACAATTTTGACTCAATTGTCATTAAACTTGGTCAGGAAACTTGTCTAGGTCATTGCTGGGAATAAATCGAACATGGGACATCTCGGATGAAAAACTAGGTCACAGGAGCTAAAAATAGAAAAATCTTGTTAACACTC